TGGTAATGAGCCTTAGAGCAGATGGAAAAAAGGATGTTCATATTATTCTTAAGCCTTTATTCTTAAAGACATGTGACTGATAAAGTTGACTGCCCTGCAAGAACTTGAAAATGTCTTTACTGTTGCCTCTCTGCTTTGTTTTGTTACATACCAGCAATAATACTGTATGTTTCCATGGTTTTAGAAAGGAAACCACCAAGTCTGAGCATATAGACGGGGATGTTATTCAATCAGACAGGCATCAGAAATATCTGCACAGACTGCTGCGGTCAGTTGGAAAGACAACCAGCACTTATGCCGCAGGCCACTGCCATCAACACTGGCTTATGCCAGATGGTCTCTTACCTTATAGTTCGGCTGGAAATGCAATACTTCCACATAGCATTCCATATGGCAGTGACATCAGCAGAGACATCAGACATGCTCAAAAAAAAGTGCACATGGCACCAAAAGGAAGTTTCAGAAACACAAAATTGCAGCAAGCACCACTCTAAAACAGGCAGAAGTAGTCAAATCTGCGCTCACTCCCTTCTCAACCACAAATTACACCCCACATCCTTCGCTTTCCATAGAAAACCCACAAAGATGTTCATTCTTTCACTGCTGAAGTTACTTTGTGCTTTTTCTAAGTTCGGCCTGCCCTAGTTTATGTTGGACTTAGAGTTGCTGCTCCAGCAAGCTGTCCGATGACCAAGTAAGGTAAAGGCCCAGGACATATAGCAGAAGAAAAGCACCCCTCTCCTTAAGAAATGCACTCCACCCACAACGAATCACACACCACTCCTCTCTCTCCTCTCTGTAGACACCCCTTCCTTTATGTTCTGTCCAGTGCAATGTTCCATCTCATTTGGTGCTCCCATGATGCATGTTGTCTAGTGGTGATGGTTAGGGCCTGTGCTGTGCGTTTGATGTGTGCATGTTTATGTGGAAGTGATAGAGAGAGGATCAGAGTGATAGAGATAGAAGGCACATGAGAGAGCTTTCAATTCAATCCCTGTGTGTACAGTAACACATGGGCCTGTGTCCAGCAGTCACGCTGCTCTCAGTGGGAAGGCCATACAGGAGGGAGGGTTAGCCCCAGTTCAAGCAGCTGGGAGAGGCTGTTCTGAGGAACTACGCTGACCTTGCTTTAACAACACAGTCTCAGTCCTGTGGTACAATCTGTTTAACTGAAGCCAGAGCAACATAATGCGTTACACCCAATGATCAGGATATTCCAGTAACTCTGCAGGGTTAGACACATAATGAGTTGTTGACATTGTGTGGAAATAAATCAGCAATTGCACTCAATAATTCCAAAGAGTCATGCACTGAACTGTTAGTGCTTTATAATTGTGCTTTTAAATCATAAAATAAATAATAATAATAATTATATATCTGACTGAGAAGATGATTCCAACACCACAGCCATTTGGTATTGAGACAGCACCTATGGTTGGGGGGATTCCCTGAAGCCTACGTTCAAAGAAAGCGTTGCCAGCTAAATCTGTGCTGCATTATGAATGAACTATGGACATACTGTATTCTCACCTTCTGAATATTAATGCTTGTGACAAACTGTGTTTATATGTGTGTGAACGCATTAGCATACAGAGCTGTGACAGAAGGCAGGTGCCTCTGATTTTCACAGTTCCTGGATTAGTGTCTTCACAGTGCAGCTCATTTCTGATTCAGACAGGATGTCTGTGCAATGGGATGCACATGGGGAAACCTCTGCTAACTGGTTAGATCTTTCGGTTGTCACAGAAGATCCAAAATATTGCAAGTCTTTTCTTTACAGCTGTGACAGGTATCTACATTATGTTCACTAAAATGTAACAATTCTGAGGAATTCTTAGTCCCCTGAAGCTGAAACAGCATCTTGTAATACACATGTGAGATTATAGAGCATCACACATGGTAGATCAAGCTAAAAGTCAAGATTCCCCAAACATTAAATGACCTTTATCATGGTGGAAAATCCATTAATCTCTGTACTTTTCTTTATATCATCAACTGATAATGGGTATGTGCTAACCAGCTCGTTTAATGAGTTGGACCGTGTGTATGGAATGTGATATCTGTGTTGTGATAGGCAGTGAAACGCATTAGAGGTTATTTTTTATGGTCTCATCACAGCAGCAGGGGAATGGGGTGAGTAAATTACAGTGAGTGTGAGAGAGGAGTGTGCACCTAACATACTTGGAATCTGCAAAAAAACAAAAAAACAAAAACAAACCATAAGTCAGTGTCAAACTTCTAATAAGTTGTGTTTAAAGGAAATGAAACCACAACCTTCTACTGCAGTTCCTATATATAGTATCTTATAGTCACTGATTCAATCCTGTGATTTAGACTTTGAAGTGTCACTAAATCACATTCAATCCAATCTGATGAGTTGAGTGGCACGTTGTGATGAAAGAGGAAAAAAAAAAAAATCCCACAACACCTTACAGATTAATAAAATAAAGATTTAAGATCTGCATGAATCCAGAGCTGGACTCAGTAATCAGGTATAGATTATGCAGTAGGTGAAAGCTGAATGAGGAGAGGTCCCAGTGGGACAGAGATGAGCCATCTCATCGTGCTCTTTTCAGCAACACCAACGCTAACCAAACAACCGATACAAACAAGATCATTCTACGTACCAAGTTACTTAACCAAGTGCTTCTACAAAATTACAACCTGAACCTGTTTCGCTCTGACAAATCGATAACAGTTCAGTAAGCTCACATGCCCCAGAGCAATATTTCTCTCTCACTCAGCCAGCATGTCAGCATGTAGAGCTACACAACAGTTTCTCCGTCAGTTGGCCATGCTTGATGAAGTCATTCTACAGTCTGTTTTAAAGTGTATTCATTTGCTTAAAGTTGGGAGCATTTCAACACAGGGAGTGTCATCAACAAGTTGACATCACTCAGACTGTGAGAATTATGAGTTGATCAAAATATACAGTACAAGTACAAGAAGCAATCTGAGCCAAACATGACCGCTAGCACAGGCATCGTTAAACTTACCTTTTATAAAAGTTGCTGTGAGGGTGCAAACACAGCACGTGCCAGTAATCCAGGCAAAACGCTTTGAACTTCCACATCCTCAGCTCACACAATCAACAGGGCAGAACACTAGTGAGTTCTAACAATATTAAATGGCACCACAAGCGCAGGACCCTGCTCGTTTCCTCAGGCAGTGAATCTCTGGCATTTTATTTATCCTTTATTTAGCCAGTAAGGTCCCACTGAGATACAAGACCTCTTCTTCTGGAAAGTCCTTGTCAGATCGGTCCTTCTCTGGAGCTCCAGCCTTGCCGCTGCCACTGGATGACGGCCTGAGTGGTTTAACCTGCCCAAAACAACCACATCACTCCTGGAAGTGTCTCAGTCCTCACCAACCCAGACAGTCAGGCCTGTCAGGAACCCTCTATAGAACTGATTCGGACCCAGTATTAATGCTTCCTCCCTAAATAAGAACTATATTGGCTGCTTCAGCTGTCTTTTAGCTGCTATTCAGGTCAGTCAATCTGTCCTCTGTGCCGGTCGTTCTACACATTGCGTCAGCCCAGAATCCTCTGAGACCTCATGGCTACAGCCAAACCTCTGCACCGCTCCAGCAGGCTCAAGTAGTGGAATATGCAGGAGTGCAGCAATAAGGAGGAATCCTCCAAAACGCACTCATCTCTCACACTCAACAGGGACCATCAGTGGCCTCTTCTTCTGTCTCCTCCTCTGCTCCAAGAACAAACTTTGTAACGAGGTGAGAGACTGGGTCTCTTCCCCTCACTCTCAGCGTGGCTCTTTCTTCAGCCTCACACAATCCTTATCCTTCACTTCTACTTCCCCCGGTGAAACCCTGAACCTTCTCTCCTCCTATCTGTGTCCCCTTCTCCTGATCCTCTCCCTCCTGCTCACTCCCTCCTCCTTTTACAGCTGCTGCCATCCACACAGGACCTCCCAGAAATGTGCCAATTCTGGTTGCTGGGCAACATCTCCGTACTACCGAAGCTTCAAATGGAAGCCTAGCAGAGCAGCCTGTGATTGGCAGGCTTTTCAGCAGAGGGAGGGACTGCTGCACTGAAGTACGACCACATGAGTTTCTACACATGGTTTGTTAAAATAAATATGCGCTTCAAGTGCTCTCATGTTTGGTCAGAGTCTGATCAAGAAAAACAAATTAATTTGACCCATCAAGGTCATGGAAGTATTACAGAAAATGTAATTGGAGAGTATGCAGACAGAATGAGGTAAAACTGGATTTCTGTATTTTTCTGGATCAAAGCAGTGCATGTCTTTATTAGAAGCCAAGTTCAAAACAGCTGCAGTGCTTAGTAAAGCTATAGGACTTAGACACATAAAACACTGCTCTCTTTTCTTGCTAAAGGGTTTATTTTGCATTTGAACACAAGCACAGTCCTGTTCTTTCTCTGCCTGAGATGCAGTGCATGCTGCAGTGCCACCCAGTCCCAGCAGTCAGGGGAAGGAGGTGTGGAAGGGCCTCTCATCAATATTCAGCTATACTGCCAGTGTCCAAACACAAATGCGGAAAATACTGCATATATTTACACAAACAAGTCGTCTAGCGTATGCAAACACAAACATGCATTAATGTTTGTGCATACCTGCACATTAAAAGGCCTCATCACCATAGTGAGTGTAGATCTGTTTGGACACAACTGGCACAATATAAACTTCCTCTCTTTTCCCAGGCAAAGACATAGAAAAGGCGAGATCAGTACAAAAGCTATACTGAGAGCCTGTGTGAGCAGCAGGGATGCTGAGGAATTCACTAATCTACACGCCATTCATCAGCCGTTTGTCACAACTTGCCTCCTGATTTAAGCACATCTCATAGAAAATGAGCGCACATGAACTGAGTCTTTCATCTTTAGTCTTCATCTCAATTTGCTGTGATGAGAAACTGCTTTCCACAAATTAACAATTCACATGACTTCCATGTAACAAGTGTGACTATCTTTTAGATTTCTGCACTATGAGCTTCAATGAAGTTATGCATAATTTGCTGGAAAGTAAAGGCACATTTAAAGCAGATTACCAGATTTTTTTTTTTTTTTTTTGAGATAGAGGCTAATGCTGAAGATAAAATCGACGAACCACAGTTAAAGTCACAGTTATGAGATAAGCGACTGTTTTTCCCCCCTAACTGTTTTCAAATGTACATAATGCCTGTTGTTCATTGTGATGATTTACCACTGTGGGTCACGCAGAAGGAGAACCCTCTGAGTTCCCTCTTTCTGATTCATGAGGAGCTTTCTTCAGTGGTGGGTGTGGGTGGAACCCCACTATTTTGAGCAGAACAAACCAGCATCTGTCAAAGGCAAGGAAGAGCAATTATTGCGGCACTAACATAAAACTAGCATAAAAAACAGATGGCTCTAATTCAAGCATACATGATAGGCTCTTTGTTTTTGTGTATACAAGCAGACAGACTGTTTTCTTCATAGCCTGCACTGGCACGTCCATATGTGTGGTGAACTGGTGTCCATGAGCTGAAAACTCCATACTAAATGAACATTCTTTCTACTTATCACAATGTATGATTCAACTTATACCCTAGTTTTTCTATAGCTGTGAGTTAACACATGCGCACTATCAGCATTTTTCAGTCTAACTGGGGTGCGGTGCTACATTGACATTACTCCCCACCAGTTCCTTTTACTACACAAAGGTTGGTAGTAAAAGAAAACTAGGGAAGAAAGGGGGTAATGTGTGATGAAGATGCTTGACAGATTCAAATCTGAGACAGCTACATGATTACACGGTAAGTGCCTCATGCTGACTGGCAGCACTAATCCAGTCAGCATTATCTGTGATGTCAGTATAAACCCTGAAAACCAATGACAATGCATCTACCAAGATTAATTAGGATATAAAAATGTGGAGAGTATTTCTTTTCTTCCTGATTAAAATCCCTGCAACACTGCAGCTGGATCAATATGAACATAAAGTGTTTCAGAAATGAAAAGCTATAAAAGACAGTCATATCTGCTCGACCATTAATCTGAATATAAGATCTCATGTGAAAAGCCTCAGGACAAGTTCTTATTGTTTCTGTACTGCAGCTGACATCATTCTGTAGGACACTGATACTGAGCATTACAATGCAGGGACCCCACTCCTCTCTACGAACGGCCCAGTCAATCACTGATAAACTGCCTTAGGGATTTCACCATGACCTGCTCTGATGTGCAGTTAATAAATACTTTAATATAAAATAGCCTGCTGTGGAAAATCTCCTGGTCAATGCTAAGTGAGAAGGGGTGAAACATGAAGCTGAGGGTAAGACAGTGGGCAGTGAGTCCAGCTCAGGTTGTGCAATACACCAGAGAAACCGTGCAGGGATGAGAACATGGAGCAAGGATGTGAAGGATTCTAAAAATAAAAAATAAGGGACAGTTACAAATGAGCCTTTAAATCAAATTATTTTCAATGGTGCTGTCCTGCTCACAAGGACCCTGACTGGACAATAATCTTACTCCAAACCCTGACCCCATCTTGCCAGGCCTTCCTGTGTACTGATCCAGGGGGCCAAAGAGAAATGGCAATACAACATAAGATATAATAACCATTATAGATCATCTGTAGAGAAAAGGCTAGGTAAGGTAAAAAAGTAATGTTGTACTAAAAATCCATGAGTGTACCAAGTACAGAAAAACCATGAGCTCATAATAATGCTCGTGTGAAGGGCAGCTGCTCTGACAGAATGTTAGAACAGTTCACCCCCTGGTGGCAGACTGCAGAAGCTTCCCTGACTTCAGAGCCCAGAGCTGGTGTGACTGAAGAAATGGTGAGTCGGACAGGCATGGGGAGTAGATAGTAGAAATTCATTTATTTCTTATTGATACTGCATCAAAGAAGCAGTTAGTAAATGACAAGCCTCAGATCTCTACTGGCCAACTTAAACAGTTTTAGGTCATTCAGCGCAGTTTCTGACAGCTAAATGGACGATTTAAGAAAGTGATTTATACTTTCAAAGCTAAACTCTTTGCCTCTGATATGTCACACTGTTGCACCTCCTCCTCTGCAGTACACTGGGAGATACAATTACACACAGAGAAGAAAGCAGAAAAACTCAAGAGCATCTCATTGACAAGTTACTTTATACTACAGGGCAGATATTGTTTTAGAGAGGCGTTCTGGGGAGATCGTCTTACATGAAAGTTTACACAGCTTGCATGAGGGCAGACTGGTAAATCACAGACTGTTTAGCCATCAGCCTGAAAGGGACCATGAACAACACAGAGAGGGGAAAAGGAGGGTGTCAAGAAAATACAGAGACAAAGAAAGACACAGAGAGGACATGGAGGGGAGAGATCCATAATCACAGCAGACACATTCCTCCAGTTTTGAATATGTATTAAATTGTCAGGGGCAGCATGTAAAGCTGCCAATAATGTTGAGGGTGAACTCAATTATAAGGCCAGACGAGTAAAAGCAGAACACTGTCTCTCTAATAAGAGCACTGGTCATAATAAATCTGTACACAATACAGGAGTCTTTGAAACCACAGGTCGTTCCAACCAGGAAATGTGACCAAAGCAAGTCTCAAAAGTTTCTACACGTAACATTCTCAGGTTGATAATTCCAGTCCAGGGTCAGAACCAGCAAACTCACATATCCAAGGTATCCACAAGAAGATCAGTCAGTAAGGGAAGTCCATAAATCGACGCACAGAATACAAACAGAATCAGAAGGGCTAGGCAGGAATCGGTGGTCACAAGGCAATCTGGGGTCAGAGCTGGAATAACAGGTACAAGAAGAAACGCTGGAAAGTCTGAACAATCTGGCAGCTTCCTGGTGGGAGGAAGCAGCCTATAAAGGGCTGTCGACATGTGCAAATAATTACCACTGATTAGTGTAAATAGTCCTTAGCTGAAAAGAGACCTTAAACAGGAAGTGGTGTCAGAATAAAAGCATGTTACAGGAAGCAGAAGAAGCAGAATCATGATATTAAATGGAGAAAGTAGCGGCAGACAAAAAGAGAGCAAGAGAGGGAAAAATGCTCTGCGACCAGTTTGAGGTGGATCCCACAGACTTCAGTCTCTGTCACCATCTTTTCTGAAAAAGGTACAAGACACAGCCCCACCAAGACAACAAAGTGTATTTGACTGTAAAGAGAGGATGACTGGATCTTTTTTTAATAGTCCTATAAATGACATGACTTACAGCTGAGCCAGTGTAAACACATCATTATGATTCACGGTTTAAAATCTCCAGTAGGATTAGCATGTTTTGTATTAAGCAAATACGACACATACAGAAAGCCTAGGAGCCATGTAAGCAAAAAAGAAAAAAACATGCTCTGAATAAGTGCAGTCATTCAGTGCACACTCTGTAGAAACAGCTTAAAGTGAGACAGGAAACCTACTACCATGGAAATAAAAATAAATGTGACATAAGTGATATCGTGGAATGGTTGTTATTACACAACACTGTTGCTGATAAAACATATCCTCATATCTGTTTTATTTTTGCCAGAGGAACAAAATGTTCTAGAGATGCATCCTTTTTCTAATACAAACAAATCTCCTCGGTGCTGTTGCTTCTGACGTTGCTGTTGGCAAAGGCAGGGGCTTATTATGGGCTGTTTCAAACCACGGATGCACCAGCACTAGCTACTCCCCTGAGGAAACTTTAGCTCAGTGAGATGTGCCCCTGAGAGCCCAGCAGCTCCTACTGGTTTGATAATCCTCGCTGTAAACTCAGTGCCGGCGTACAGTTGCTGATCTTTTAGTGTGGAAATGACAGAATTTGAGCTAACTGTGCTTGGCCGCAGCCAAGTTTGTTCTAATCTGGCAAAACGCTGCTGTAGCACTGGAAAAT